GGAAATTTCAAAGAATTGAACAACCATTTCAAAGAAATATTTCAAGTTTTAGACATGTTTTAACCCCCATTAGTCCAGACTTTAGAGGCCCTGCTTTATCATTTTCATCTGCAGAATAATGTGAAATGTACACACACACACACACATATGTATATACTGTATCAAAGTTATTAACTAGTAATGTTACTCTTACAAACTTAGTTTATTTAAATGTATATATAGAAGTATATATATAAAAAAGGCTTAGGATGAATTAGGCTCCCCCTCATGACCAGGTCCTAAAATTATTGATTTGAATGTTACTATGAAACTTCTTTCATTTTGATGAGTTACAGTAATGGGGAATTGCTAAGTGCTTGTAAGTTCAAGTAAGTCTAAACTACATTAATGTAGGCTAATAATAATAATAATGGTTATATATTTTGGCTCTTGTTTTACAGTTTATATGTAGATGCATGTTTATAAACTTGTGTAAAAATAGTGAATGCATAGACAAATGAAAACTTTTAAAGTAAAATTTTATCTTTATTGTGTTTTTGCATGCAGAATACAAAATTGTATGTCTGGTTTTCCTCAGACTATATTTTTTAAAATATCATATGAATATATGCCCATTTAAATGTTTTAATTGATGTTTTTTTTATTATAGAAAATTAAAGGTAAAACGCTTTTGTTCCAGACTGTTGTCTTAATCTGGAAATTATTAGCATATACATATAAGTATTTATATTTTAGACCAATGGACCAGTGTTTGCAGATAATGGAGAAGAAAGTAATCAGATTTGGGAATACCCATGGGCAACAGACATAATGAGACAACACAGTAGAAATTGGACATTAGCAGGAGATTCAGGGGTAAGTTTATGTTGTAGTATTTTTAGGCTGTTGCTTAAAATTAGTTTGAGTACTGCAAATGGTTTAGCAAAGTATGGGTTGTATGAATTATTGAAAGTAAAAAATAATTCAATTACAATAATAATGAAATATAATTTATTAATTTTTGTTATAAGTGTATCAATGTGTTTGGTGTAGCATTCAAGATGTTTTGAAAGATTACTAGGTAATAATATTATTTAAAATAATGTTGAATACTAGTAGACTTCTTCTAATAAACCTTTTGCTAGAATTTTTTCTGCACGCTTTTCCTCATTGAAACATTTATCTAGTAATTAATAAAACATTCATAAAATTTCTGTAAGTTTCTTATTAAACCTACTTATTGATTTAAGAGATATATTTTTGTTTCAAAATTAAAACACATATTTTATATCATGTGAAACACAGGTGTTTCTTATTTGAAGAAATGCTTTCGTTCTCCCTCTCTTGGTAGTTACCACAATTTACAGTAAGGTTCACTCTAAAAACTAAATGGAAATGGGCTGGGCATGTCACAAGATATTCTGATAACAGGTGAACATTAAGAACAATAAAATGGCAACCTAGAACAGGGAAAAGAGAAGATGGAGGGACAATATAGTGGCAGAATCCGAAATCTGATGGACATGGTATGCTAAGAATAAGAAATACTGGACTGGTCTGACGGAGAGCTACATCCAATGAGGGATGACTGCAGCTTAGATAGATACCCAAGATAAGTACCCAGACTAACAACAACTGTAACAGCATACATGCATTTTTAATCACTCACCCAAGCATACAAACATTTGGGAATTTAAATCCCAATTCAGGGAAAACACGTTCAGGTTAAAAGTCCCAATAATTAATGGATTTTCTAAAACCATTAAATCCTACATCTGATTCTGACAATGTAGGTGATATGCATCTTACCTTATATACCCTAGTCAGGGTTAACTAAAATATTTAGATTGATTAAGGAATATATTAAGCAGCTCATTTTACCAATGAGATCATGTCAGCTAATGTGTTAACTAAATTGAAATCAAAAACTGTACTATGTCAAGTTTGCTGGTGGAATAAAGATGGAAGTCCAGGCCATGCTAATAAAGGTAAGAATCAAAGTTTACACAGTTCATTTAAAAAAAGAAGAGAGTGATAGCTAATTCTTCAAATAAAGTCAGTGGTAACCAACATTAAGTGAATCATTTTGAGAAACTGTTAGGAATAAAGATAAATTAGGTTGTGAAAATAAATATGTACCATAACCATCTTGGTCATCCACTGATCTGTCTTGAGATTTTATAACAAGACTGCATCATTTTTCATCCCCGTAAAAGTAGTAGTGGTAGAAGGAAAAATATCCTCATTACTTTGAAGAATAAGATCATGGATCAGTGTGTACAACCAACCTTAACATATGGCTGCCAAACAAGGCCACTAACAAAAGAGATAAGGAAAAAGATAGAAACCACACAAAGAGCTATGGAAACAAAAATACTTCATATAACACTACAAGATAGATGGATAAATGACAGAATAAGAAAAACAACAAATATAATAGATGCCTCTAGAATTTTTTTGTACATTCCAAAACATTGCCATGTTGCCTTTATTCTTACCATAAATTCTTCTCTTGTTGTGTTTTCCATTTTGAAGGTTTGTCCTAAATATTTGTACTCTTGAAACTTTCTCTATTTCTTCATTCCCAATTTTGATGGTATCTGAGAATGCTCTGGTCTTGAGCACTATGGCCTCAGTTTGCTCCACTTTCCACTTTCTCTGATGGAATTTTGGCCCTTCACTAATGCACTGGCCGGGCGTGTTGTTAAAGGGTGTTTTTTATAGTGACACCATCACTCTATGTATTTCGCCAACTGAAATCATTGCTGCCAGCCATTGATCAAAATGATTCTTCTGCCTGCCAGTATGCTAACTCTGATCATCAATGACATACCTTACCAAGTGCTCTGAGATAGCATCCATCAGCTTGCTTCCGCTGACTTCGTCATTTCCCTTGTTTGGGACCCTAACCACGTACTGACAGCCTGGTGCCAGCTGAGCCCGGAATTCATGATCAGGGCAGGGTCATTACTCCCTGAAGCAGCACTAAGTGCTACCCACTACGTGTGGTCATGTATTTGGTTTTTCCATTATGATTTTTAATCCTGCTTTCTTGCTACTGGCATTCAAACAGTTTAACCATTTTGACATGGGTCACAGGTGAAAGGCTATGTCATCTCGTTTGATGACTCTCATTCAAAATTTTATTGAAGTACTATTTCATGAATTTATGTCAATAAGTTTGGTATAAAACTGTAGATTATAATTCAAGTTTGAGAACTATATATTGCTCAATTTGTTCATTTAAAAGTAAATATTGAAAAAACACAGATAAACATAAATTTTTGTGTGTCATGTAGTATGTTGAATGCAGCACTGGTTCAAATTAGATGTTTGTGAAGTCAAAATACTAAGTCTGTAGTTTTATACAAATTAGAAACTCATGTTACCGATATTGACAAGCTAGAATATAAAATAAGTAAGTCTTATCTTTTCTATTTACTAAGATATTGCTCATGTAATAAATCAAACACAATGGCATCCTGCTCACCTCTTTCCATTTTTGGAAACGCTCCCTTATATTTTCACTTATTTCTATATATGACATGAATAACCAATCGGAAGCTCAGAATATCCCCCTAGTGGTTTTCTCAGCTTTTCTAATGCACCTAACACCATTTTTTCCTTTTGAACCAAGATTTCAATGAGGTAGGTTGTGTCTTTAGTCTGCTTGAAATTTCATATTTTTTAGGTCCAAATACAGCTCAGTTACTAGGTTTGATAAATTATAGTAGAATTCTATGGTACTGATGTAGTAATTTATGGTTTTTTTAGTTATTCAAAAGTATATATAAAACCTAAAAAA